GCTGTTGGTCCCTCCTTTTGTCTGAAGGGTGGGGAAACCAAGGCTCAGGCAGAAGCCTTGTGCAGGGCCCATAGTGTAGTGTGTATGGCCTGGCAGGGAGGATCCCGCAGCGGGACCCAGCCCAAGCTGCCTCCTGAGGGCTCAGCCTCGTCTCCCTGAATGGGCACAGGAGGATATTCCTGTCCACTACCCCGAGGATGACGGCAGCAGCCAGGGGCCTCTCTGTCCGCTGGACAGCAACCTCTCCCACTTCATCCTGGTGGAGCCAGGCCCCCCGGGGAAGGGCGATGGGCTGACGGAGCTGCGGCTCAGGCTGGAGAAGCACATCTCGGAGCAGAGGACAGGCTACGGGGGTGAGGCCCGCCCCAGCCACCCAGGAAAGCCGCCGGCGGCCAACTGCCTTGGGACCCAGTGGGGATCCAGGGACCCGCCTATGGGAGTGTGGGGGTGACCGCCAGGGAGAAGGAGGAGGGCTTCCCAGGCAGAACGCAGCCAGCATGGCTGGGCACCGAGACCTGGGCCGTGGGGGCCTGGGAGGAGGAGCTGTCTGGGCAGGGCGGTGCAGGAGGCACAGCTGGATAGAGTGGGTCTGGCTGGGCAGTGACATTCCCACCAGAGCAGGTGCAGTTCTGTTTTCACTGGGCCTTGCCGTGGTCAGAGGCTCTGGGGCGTGAGTTGAAAGAGGGCTACTTCCTGCCACCAGGCATGAGGTACGCTGCCACCAGAGGGCAGCGTCACCCGAGAAATGGGCACCTCTGGCCAGTCGCACTTTCAAAAGCTGGACTTACTAAGAAAATGCTAGTGTGTAAATAATATTCATAAAGCATATAATTATTTATAACGTCTATGAACAATATACAATATTTAGAAACAAAAAATGGTTTTTTGTGGGCAGTTTTTGGGTGGGCAGTTTCCGGAAGTGTTCTCCAGATGGCCCAGAGAGTCAGGGCGTTGGGCTGCCGTGTGGGGTGGGAGCGCTGCCTGTGCCGGGTGGGGTGGAGAGTCAGGGCCTCGGGCTGCCGTAATTTCTTGGCAAGGCCAACTGAGCCTTTTCTTTTTTTTTTTTTCCTGGTAGAATCTCACTCAGTCCCCCAGGCTGGGGTGCAGTGGTGCAATCTCAGCTCACTGCAGCCTCCACCTACCGGGTTCCAGCAATTCTTCTGCCTCAGCCTCCTGGGTAGCTGGGATCATAGGCATGTGCCACCATGCCTGGCTGTTTTTTGGG